ACCCGTTATCTTTTCTACCTGCCATTTTATGATTCCTAAATTATCCCACAGTACTGTTTTCATCTAGCTGTACAGGTATATTTGTACAGTGTACATTTCTGTGTGAGATATGGCTATTAGAAGGTGAATGATTTTTGAATAATGCACCAAATACTACTATTTCAAACCTAACATTTTCAGGAGGACAGAAATGTTCTTGGAACCGATAGACACTTATCCACAGTTTCCTATCTTCACAAAAGGCTTCCTGTACAAGCTACATCCTCTTCTAAATTCTTCCATTGTTCATCCCATTGAAAATAATAGGGTTTGCTATTATCTGCTGCTTCTGGTGTCCATGCAAAGTCCAGGAAGTATTCCTTTTGGAACGGGGGTCATATTGTATTCACCTTTTGGAGAAAAGATTCTGGCTAGTACCAGTGTTTCAAGTGGTAATGGCATGTCGGCTCTGTCCCATCCACTCCTCTCTTATTCCCCAAGCTGCTGTTTCTGACTTTGTGGGTCAGATAGGTTGTTGTTCACAACTAACTGTCATATGACACTAGGCCTAATGTGATGGCATGTCTAGTTTCTAGATGCTCGAAAATAAAATCACAGCTAATTTGGCTTGTTTCTGTTATGGGAAGAGTGAAAGAAAATAAACAATTTTTCCAAGGAGGCTATGAAATAGCTGTAAAAGGCCAAGGCTAGTTGTGATGGTGGCATTGATGTTTTTTATTCGTATCTTTTGCACTGCCCAGTACCATTAATCGCTTTTCATTGCCATTTTGGCTCAGTCTCAATGTAGGTGGATTGCTGCTAATCATCGGGGCTCTCTGCCCTGGAATGCAGAGGTCAGTATATGTTATCTTGCTCCCTTTCTCAGTTGGTCTGGAGTGGAAACTAACCTGTGTTTATAGTAATAAGTCACGTAAGTCAGTATAATGTTAAGACTTTTTTCAGGCACATTGCTGCCCTGTCACACACTGGCTCTCCTTCGCATGCAGATGTTGCTGGCAGCAAGGCAAGGCAGTTAAGATAAACCTTGTCAACTTGGTATTCTAAAAACTTTTTAAACCTTTCTTTGCTCCTATGTGCATAATTGAAATAATGCAGAATGTCTGAATCTCCCTCTCTTCCCCCCCCCCCCAAATAGCTTTTCTTTTGAGGTTTTTAGGAAAAAGGCAAAGGCTTCTACACATAAAAAATAAAGCTTTAGCAGTTGTTTCCATTGGTTAAAGTTTTGTTGGCTACCTAGAATAGTTTAAGCCCTGGAGCCTGCATGAAACCCAGAAGAAGGCTTAATGCAATTTGTTAATACTATATTGAAGTGAAGCAAATATTATTATTATTATTATTATTATTATTATTATTATTATTATTATTATTATTATTATTATTATTAACACAACAAGATGAGTCCACAGCGGACAAGATCACTTTGCTGGCTGTTGTATTGGATCACATGTCGGACACTTCCCAAGTGTCTAGGACTGTGTGATGTAATGGCAAATAATGCGTGCAGATCCCAGTAAGGTGGCCTTCTGCAGCTGGCAGATGGCAATTCTGTCAGCGCCGAATGTGTTTAAGTGCAGGCCAAGGTCTTTAGGCACTGCACCCAGTGTGCCGATCACCGCTGGGACCACCTTTACTGGCTTGTGCCAGAGTCTTTGCAGTTCGATCTTTAAATCTTCATATCGTGTCAGCATTTCCAGTTGTTTCTCTTCTATCCTGCTGTTGCCTGGGATTGCAACATCAACAATCCATACTTTGTTTTTTTTTACACAATCGTGAGGTCAGGAGTATTGTGTTCCAAAACTCTACCTGAATTCAGAAGTCCCAGAGGAGTTTGACGTGTTCATTTTCTGTAACTTTTTCCGGCTTGTGATCTCACCAGTTCTTTGTTGCAGGCAGATGATATTTGTGGCACAGGTTCCAATTAATCATCTGAGCAATGGTATTATGCTTCTACTTGTAGGTTGTTTGTGTGATCTTCTTGCAGCAGCTAAGCATGTGATCTATTGTTTCATCAGCTTCCTTGCAGAGTCTACATTTGGGATCTGTTGTCGACCTTTCAATTCTGGCTGCCAGAATCAGGCCCTCCATGTCTCCTTTTTTTGAAGTTCCATTTGTGAGCCACAGCCATGTTTTTTCTTTGTCAATTTGGCTCTCAGTTTTTCCCATGAACTGTCGATGGAGAGCCTTCTTTTGCCAGTTTTCTCTTCTGCTCTGGATTGTGTTTTTACAGTATTCACTCTTTGTCTTTTGCACTTTAAACAGTTTACTACTATTGACTTCCCTCAACGTTGATATTCTTATTCTTATTATTCTTATTATTATCATTTTATTTCTTACCTGCCTCACCTCACGGCTCAAGGAGGGTTACAACATTCCTACAACACATAATCAAAGCACATAATAATTTTAAAACACCTTGTAGAATACACACATTTAAACATATTTTCATAAAATACATATTAAAATACACAAAACAAAAATTAGAATGGAATTTAGCCATTCCTCAAGACAATAGGTCTGCACCATTGTGGAACCCCTGGTGGTGCAATGGGTTAAACCCTTGTGCTGGCAGGACTGAAGACTGACAGGTCGGAGGTTCAAATCTGGAGAGAAAGTGGATGAGCTCCCTCTGTTAGCTCCAGCTCCCCATGTGGGGACATGAGAGAAGCATCAAAACATCTGGGTGTTCCCTGGGCAATGTCCTTGCAGACAGCCAATTCTCTCACACCAGAAGTGGCTTGCAGTTTCTCAAATCGCTCATGACACAGAAAAAAAAATATTGTGGAATTGGTCAGCATCATCCCATCAGGAAATGTTGTGAAATATATTTGTAATAAGATTTAGTAGCTATACCTATGTATTCTTAAAAACTACAGAGCAATTAGGACATCATACACATATATGTGCACAAACCTTCAGATTTAATATGTCTAGTTTTCCCACCTTCCTAAATTAATGCTTTAGGGGGTCTTTAGACATACAAAACATTTTCTACATAATATTTTCTTTCCGGAAATTGCAGGAGTGCCGGTCTGTCCCTGTGCGCCCGCCACATGTCTACTGTGACAAGTCCTGCTCCTACAATATTGCCTTTCCTTCTCAACACAAGCATACATGTACACACATGTATATACACTCCCTGTGTGCGTGTTAAAATGTTTGGAAACATGGGCATGGGGAGCAGAGAGAGAAAACAAATGCTTCCGGCATATTAGGACTCTCTCATTAGTAGGCCATGCTTTTTCCATAGACATATTCAACATTTGTGGCATAACTGTCAAGACATCAAAGAACTCTGGTAGCAGACAACTTACTCAGTGGACAAAAGAAGGGAAGAAGTAAAAGCCAAGGGGGAGGAAAATTGGGAAAATGCATAGAGATATGAAGGTTTGAGTGAAAATTCCTCTTCCAGTAATATAAGCCACTTGAATTACTGCACTACATTTCTACGCATTATCAAGCATGTTGATATAGTTATTCCCAGTTTTTTAGAGCAGCCTCTGAACTTTGTATCATGTTGAGATATTAACATAGGTATCTAGCATATTATAGGCAGGCTTTGGTAATAATGAAGCCATTACTGTTATTTTGCTCCCTGCAGGTAATGCTTATCTGGAAGAGAAGGAGTTTTCTCCATAGCTTTTTGTTATCACATCTCTGTGATTTCTTTCCATTCAGAATAGGAGTTTAGTACTTCTCAAAACAATACATAAAGTATTGGGTTTGATACTGCAGGGAATCAGCGCCATTGCAGGCAGTCTGTAATTACAACTGCTTGACTTGTCCCCACTAATCTTTCTTCAGCTGTGGATTTTACATCAAATAGCTGTTTTTCCCAAGAGTGCCATCAGAAACAGGGACCAAGCTACAGTAAATAAAGATATTTAATCCATTTTAGACATGAGCCAAAAGCCCAGTTTCCTCATCTGTCAGGGCGCTCCCTTCCCTGAATTTATGAGGTGTTTCATTCTGCAGACATTTCATTTTTCCTTCAGTCCTAAGGTGCAAAGGGCAAGTTGTCTATGGCTTGCTTTGAGAACAAATCAAACATATCACCAATCTTGGTGGTCAGTCTAGGGAGCAGCAGGGCTGGAGCTGCTTTGAGAAAGCAAAAGTTGAATGGTGGAGTTTGAAGTGACCCTGGGCATATTTCATTACTTCTTCTACGCAATTCTCCTTTATACAGATCATCTCCCTATAGGGTTGTGTTCCTACTGTGGGGCATGCCCTAGCATTACTGCCCAGACATATTTGAAGCTCGGATGCTAGCTGTGGGAATAGTTAGTCAAACGTCCAATTTGGAGCATAGTGCGTTTAAATACTATTTCTTCTTTCTGATGTGCACTCCTTTTTATTTTCACACTATGTCCCAGCTTTCCAAATAAAGTGTTCCTTCAAAATTTTAACCGTGAATGAATGTTCTCTCTCTCTCTCTCTTTTGTTATTTTCTTTTCACTGTGTATGTACAAGAGTTATTTATTTTGGATTGTAAATCAGATGTAACTTCACAAGGATGGCTGACGATAAAGTATGGATGGAATGTGTCTCAATGACCCAGGTTAAAGAGCTGGAATAAACCCATAATTCAGACCTGTTTTGTTACCTGCCCATACTTGGTTAACACCTCGAGTCAGTTCCTAGTGTGCAATTCCTTCAGAGTCAGCATGGTATTGTGTTTGAGTGTTGGACTGGGACCCTGGAAGACCATGGCTTGAATTCCCACTTGGCCATGAAAACCTATTGAATAAGTCACAGTCTCTTTTCAACAAAGGAAGTCAATTGCAAATCCCTTCTGAAGAAATTCTGCCAGGAAGACCCTATGATAACTTTGCCTTAGGGTTGCCATAAGCTAGATATGTAGCTATATCTAGCGTATGGCAACTCTAAGGCAAAGTTATCATAGGGTCCTCCTCAACACCAATTTCTTTTTAAATGGTGGTGGTTTCAGGAGAGAAATACATTTTTAGCATTTGTGTAATCTAACCATCTTTCCATTTGTACAGAGTGCCTCTGATGGCTTTTGGAAGTCTGTGGCAACCCATGTTCCAAGAGAGCCCCATGAAATTCGTATCCTGAATCCATATTTCATCCAAGAGGCAGCATTCAGCTTTATTGGCCTTCCTTTTAACAATGGTCTGATGGGTAGAGGGGTAAGTGTGTTGGACAGCTTCCCTGTAATATAGTTCTTGCTTTCCTGTGTGTTGCGTCTGATAAAGAATAAAACCTGAAGTTGCTCTGTTACCATGATTACGTTCCCAAATACCCAGCCTCTCAATTCTGTTTGTAGTTTCCACTGAACTGAGACATTACTTCTATATTGGTGCAACATGTTAGATGACAATGCTGATAGAAGTTAACAGGACAGTCAAACATGAGAAAAATAGACATCACAAAGAGGGAATAAAAACAAATTGTGATGTTTCACAGAGTATTCAAATCAACAGATCAGACCTGATAATGTGGTCTACATGTATTCGGATATAGCAACACATACATGGTAGTTAGAGATGTAAAGACAAAAAGAAAGTAATAAACAAGAAAAATAGAATATCCTTTTCCAGATCTTTTCACCTGAAGTATTTTCCCCTTATAAAAATGCAAAAATTGATTCTGTAGTACCTTCTTTTACACCAGTGGTTCCCAACCTTTTTTTGACCAGGCCCACCTGACCAGGGCCCACTTTGATCAAAGACCACTTGACCAGGGCCCACTTTGAACAGGGACCACTCCCCAACATTAGTACTAAAAGGGGTGGGGCTGGTTACCTCTGTGGAAAGGAGTGGAAATAAAAATAAAATTAATGAAATATATAAAGAGGAAGGAGATTCGCAGACCAGATTTTCATTTTTGCGGCCCTTCTGGACCATGGCCCACAGGTTGAGAACCACTGTTTTACACAATGATGAATAAACAATTAAAGACATATTCACATATATAACACAATAAATTTGGAAAAAACAGCACAGAAATACCTTCATTTAAGACTGTATCATCCTGATTCATAGCCATAGTTTCTTTTTCTAAGCTTTTAGTAGAATTGAGGATGTTTTATCTACTATTTCATACTTTGGGGAGCTACTGGAGGCAAAGAATTTTATTTATTTTTTTAAAACAAATGTTCATTATTCTACTGTTTTTAATTTAGTGTTTTGCCTACACCTCACAATGCAAAACTAAAAAGGTTCTTTATAATTTAGGCATTATTTCCAGTTTAGGATCCTGTATCTCCATTTGTAACAGAAAAAAAATAATTAAAAACTAAGCTCAATTTGTAATTATATTCTGAACACTTTGTCACGTTATTAGGTCAAACACAAGAATTTTATACGGAATAAGCTTGTGTATAAAACGTAATATTTTGCATTCATAAAGTAACAAAGTGATCTTCAACCTATACGGTAAAGGTAAAGATTTTCCCCTGACATTAAGTCCAGTCGTGTCTGACTCTGTGGGTTGGTGTTCACCTCCATTTCTAAGCTGAAGATACGGCGTTGTCCGTAGATGCATGATTACATGGAGCGCCGTTACCTTCCCACTGGAGCGATACCTATTGATCTACTCACATTTGCATGTTTTCAAACTGCTAGGTTGGCAGATTCTGGGGCTAACAGCGGGAGCTCACACCACTACCCGCATTCAAACTGCGACCTTTCGATCAGTAAGTTCAGCAGCTCAGCGCTTTAACCCACTGCACCACCGGGGGCTCCAACCTATACATGATGATAATATTGCATTTTTCAATGTTCTTGAAAATTGTCTTTTCCTCTGAAAAAAATCCCCTTCCTCTCATGACTTCAAAATATTTAGAAATGTTATATCTCTGATGATACTACATCTTGTTACTTTAAAGAAAATGACTACTTGTAGTTTGATTCCAGTTTAAAAAACAGCTCACTAATTTGTAAAATCAAATACAATATACTGCCGGGGGGGGGGGGGGTCGTTCAGCAAAAGGCTGCCAACCTAAGTATCGCTATTATGTGGAACTGAGAGAGAAGAAAACTCGGAAGGGCAACATAGTATGGGAAATGGTGCTTAAGTGATTCTGACTCTTCTTTTTTGCTGTTGCAATAGATCTCTTTACTTATAAACAACAGCAGATGATATTTAAATGCTTTCCTTCCATATGTAGCATTCACATTCCTGGATTTCTCTTTGTGGAGAGAGGAGGAACTGCCAGGCCAAATCAGCTTCATGGCCCAGAATCCTATCCCCAGGATTAGCTGGCATTGACTCCTTTCTTACTCAAATGAATGGACAAAGATTAATTCTTCAACAGAGCCAAGACAAGTTGTCCCTTTAAAAGATTTTAAATGTGTCTATACTTTCTCACATAGAGTATTTTGCTTCTTTCTTCAGCAAGATCACTTTGGCTTTAAAAATTCTTGCTTGGTATTTTACAGTTAAATTGTTAAATTGTGTTTTTTTTTTTGCTGTCGAATAATACTTCAATGTCCTTTTGAATCCTGCAAAGTTTGTTGTCATTGTTATTTGTTGCAAGCAAAAACCAATCTAAAGGTGATATTGTGTGCAAAAAAAATCCTCATCTTAGTTTTTACCCTTTGCTTTATAAAACAGCTTTTTCTTTTATGCTAGGAGGCAGGGAGGCTAGATAATGCCTCTCTGCATTCCTGTTAGGGTTTGTAATTTTAGGGATGTTTGTCATCTCCTCTCTAAGGTAAACAATTTCAGCCGTTGCAACAGAAAAAAAATCAGTCCCGATCTGTGAGAGTTTATTCTCTCTATCTGGTGTGTTGCACTCTTCTACCCCTCACTGATAGATTTTGAAGGATTTTTTCCCTCCTGAAACAGGAAATTTGGCATGAGTGTATTATGCTAGGCAGGAGTTTTAAAAGTATGCTGTGATCTGCTGAGAGCAACTTACTTGCCACCAGAGAGGAATAGGTGGTAAGCTTCTCAGAAAGTGAGCAGATCTGACCACCTGGATGCTTAAAAGAACCATGTGGATTAGATTATTTTAGAAGACAGACATGGGGAAAGAACAGCTAATACAAGGGCATTCATTAAAGATTTCCCTTGACCCACTTCTATTTATGACAAGATGCTGAAACTGTGCATGTGTAATGATATAAGTCTCTATAGGTTACGTGCCAATTTACAACTCTGAACTGACAACGGTCTTGATTTTACAGGTGCTGAAGTGGTGTGAGGTTTGATAATGGACCCAGTGGAATACAGAGCAGTCATCAAGCTCCTTTACTTGAAAGGCCACACGCCAAGAGACAATAAATGAAATGAAAGAGGTTTATGGTGATGATTCCCCATCATATGATGTAGAACTGGCATCATCAATTGAAATGTGGTTGGACTTAGCTGGAAACAGATCCAATTCCAGGGTGACCCCACTCTGCTATTGATGAATACACCATCCAGCAAGTGGAAGTCATTTTGGAATATCACTGTGTATTCATTTGCCACCTAGCCCAAAATGTCAAATTAGTGTGAGGTCCATGGGAAAAAAATCACCCAAGACCATTTTCGCATGTATAAAGTATCCACTCACTGGGGCCCCCAGCTGCTCACACCTTTCCAGAAGCAGGAACTAGTTGAATTCTACAGTTGAGTTTCCCACATTTTCAGGCTCTATTGACGATGTGCCATGGAAACGGGGAGGATTTTTTCAACACACTGATCACACAGGATGAAAGCTGGATCCATCACTGTGATCCTGAAACTAAAGTCCAGTCAATGCAATGGAAGCGTCATGACTCACCACCTCCAAAGAAGGCACATGCCCAACTCTTGGCAGGCAAGGTCATGTTCACAGTATTTTGGGACCAGAACGAAGTAGCATTGATAGATTTCCTAGCAAAGGGTACCATGATTACTGGGGCATACTATGCTTCACTGTGGGAGGCCATCAAAACCAAGAGACGTGGCATGCTCACCAAAGATGTCCGCCTTCTGCAAGACAATGCATCAGTTCACAACTCACATGTTGCCAAATGGAAGCATGTTTCTGTGACTTTGAAATCCTACCGCATCCCCCTTATTCACCCTACCTCACACCATCGGACTTCCACCTCTTTCCAACAATGAAGTTATTTTTGAAGGGCAAGCATTTTTCAGATAATGATACTCTGATTTCTGAAGTCACAATGTGGCTTTTGGAGCAACCGGTTGACTTCCACAAGCAAGGTGCTTGTTGCTTACAGTTGCTTAAAAAGATGGGATAAGTGTGTGTCCCTACGTGGCACCTATGTAGAGAAGGACTAATACCTGTGCCAAGTTTAATTGCTCTCAGTCCACAGGAAGTGGGTCAGGAGAAATCTTTAATGAACACCCCTCATAATTAGATGCTGAAACCAAGAACATTCAACCTTCAAATTATAAAACATAGGTCCAGGAGAGAAGGATGACTATAGCAAGATATAGCAAGATATTATTGAGTTTGATTAAATTTCCTAAACACATTGTTTTAATCCAATAACTAAATTTCCACATGCAGAAAAATGAGGTAGGTCACCTTGGCCAAGTCACACATTCTTAGCCTGAGAAAAACCTTCAATAGGTTTGCCTTAGGGTTCCCATATGTCAGAAACGACTTGAAAGGTCATAATAATAGTCATGATCTCTCCATATATAAACATGGTACACATATCGGTGTATTAGGTATTAAATAACTTATATTGCAGGTGTTCCTTTTCCTATTCAGACTAGCTTTCTGGATTGTAACACAGATCTGTTGGGAGGCTGATCATAACAAAAGGCGCAAAATATCATAGTGCTCTATTTTCTTTTGGTCATTTTTATATTTCTTTCCAGTATAGTTCAATTCCTGTAGAGTACAGTTGTCTATCCGTACAACTGCCCAAATCCAGAAAAGGGGTACAGAAATTAAAGCTAGTTGAGTTCCCCCACCATAAGTATACACACACACATCTATACAAATTGTGTTCAAGATATAATACTCAGAGTAGCATCATGGTGAGATGATTTTCCATTTTAGCATGGGTTCCTGTAGCCCCAAATATCATACATGCATATTTGGGAATTCATTTCCCTCACCTAGTTGCATAGCAGCTCTTCTGGAGAATAGTGTTTGATGTTTCTCTTTAAAAGCAAGAGGAGACACAAAAAACCCACTGCCAATCACTTTTTCTTCAATTTGTTTTTATTTTGAAACACA